CTCCCAGGCTCTAGGGCCCAGGTTCAGTAGTTGTGGAACATGGACTTAGTTGCTCCTCAGCATGTGAGATCCTCCCAGACCAGGGATCAAACTCGTGTCTCCTGCACTAGCAAATGGATTCTTTACCGCTGGACCACCAGAGAGGCCCCCTAGTCTTAGGACTTTAAATGGCATTGTTATGATGATGATGCTTCAATTTCTATCTCCGCCCATTCTGAACTCCAGAATGGCATTTCCAACTTCCGGAACTTCACAACTTGGATACCTAACTGGTATCTCAAATGTGTGTGTTAGTCACTCAGCCGTGTCCAACTCTTTGCAACCCCATGGACTATAGCCTGCCAGGCTCCTCTGTCCATGGGATTTCCCAGGCAAGAATACTGCAGATTGCCATTTCCTATTCCAGGGGATCTTCCCGACCCAGGGATCAAACCTGGGTCTCCCGCGTTGCGGGCAGACTCTTTATCATCTGAGCCACCAAGGAAGATAGAATGCCCAAAATGTCAAACTTAGAATGTCGAAAACTAGACTCCTTTCCACTTTCCCCAAACCTGGTCCCCCCCTCAGTTCAACTCCATTGCAGTAATGGCAGCTCCATTCTTTGAGGTATCCTGGTCACAAATCCTATAAGTAATCTATTTTATGAGGTCAACATTATCCTAATAGCAAAAATTGAACAAAGATGACAAGAAAACTACAAGCTAATATCCCTCATAAACTTAGACACAAAAATTCTCAGTGAAATATGAGTAAATCAGTCCAGCAATACAGAAAAAGGATAAGAGGTAATGCTCAAGCTGGGGTTTATTGCAGGAATGCAGGGTCAGTTCAACCTTTGCAAAATCAATTGATATAATTTACCATATAATCAGACTAAAGAAGGAAAACCATATGATCACCTCAACAGATAGAAAAATTACTTGACAAAAGTCAACTATCCATGATAAAAAAAAAAAAAACTCTTAGCAACCTAGGTATAGAAAGGGCCTCCCATGATCTTATAAAGATCATATAAATACATACACACACATACGTGAATTTTAAAAACCTAACATTATGCTGAATAACTGAAAACTGAATGCTTTTCCTCTAAGAACAGGAACAAAGCAAGGATGTTACCTCTTACCACTTCTCTAAATGTCCTATTTAATTTCCTGGGCAGTACAATAAGGCAGAGAAAAGAAATTAAATGTATGCATATTGGAAAGAAGAAATAACATTGTCTCTGTACATGGGTGACATCTCTGTCTACATAGAAAATCTCAAGAATTCTACAAAATGGTTACAAGAACTAAGTGGGTTTAGCAAATTTTCAGTTTATATAAGGTCAGAGGTTTGGAGTCATACTCTCTATCCAATCTTTAGAATAAATCTTATCAGTACAAGCCTTCCTTTATAGCTCAGTTGGTAAAAAAAAATTTGCCTGTAATGCAGGAGACCCTGGTTCAATTCCTAGGTTGGGAAGATCTGCTGGAGAAGGGATACGCTACCCACTCCAGTATTCTTGGGTTTCCCTTGTGGCTCAACTGGTAAAGAATCCGTGAGTACTAACGTCAAAATCAACCCCAAATTTGGGACTTCTCTGGTGGCCCAGTGGCTAAGACTCTGTGCTCCCAATGAAGGGGGCCCAGGTTTGATTCCTGGTCAGGGAACTAGATCTCTCATGCCGCAACTAAAAGATGCAGCATGCTGCAAGGAAGATCAAAGATTCCCTGTGCCACAACTAAGACCTGGCGCAGCCAAAATAAATGAGTCGCTAATTCAATAAAACCAAAATGCAAGTAGTTCTCATGCCACGATGCCATCACACTTAGATGAGTCATCAAGATCTCTTGCTTGGATTTTGCAAGAGCCTGCATAAGCAGGATCTCTCTGCTTGCATCCTCACCCCCTATAGTATCATACCCCTCTTCAGAACCCATCTCACTCAGTAGATGTTAAAGTCTCCACAATAACCTACCAGATTCCCCATGATCTGTCTGGAAATTGCATTTCTGCCCTCATGTCCTACTCTCTCCCTGTGACTCTGATACAATCACAGCAGGCCTTTTTCTGCTTCTCCAACAAGTGATGCTCCCTACCTCAGGGCCTTTGCACTGGCGATTTCTTCTCCCTGGAAATTCCTTCTCCCAGTTATTCACAAGACTCCATCCCTCATCTCCTTCTCATCTTTGCTCAATGCTGCCTTCTCAGTGACATATTTGATTACCCTATATAAAAACTGGAACCTGCACATCCCCAGGGCTCCCTCTTCTCCTTTCTTATTTTTCTCTTTAACTCTTTTTAAATTTTAAATCTATTTTTTTCTTTCTTTTTTTGGCCACACCGTGTGGCTTGTGGGATCTTAGTTCCCCGACAGGGACCAAAGATGGAATCCTTGCCCCCTGCAGTGGAAGCACAGTCTTAACCACTAGACCACCACAGAAGTCCCTCTCTTTAACTCTTATAACCATTTGATGGGCTTCCCTGGTAGCTCAAGCAGTAGAGAAACCACCTGCAGTGCAGGAGACCTGGGTTCAATCCCTGGGTCAGGAAGATCCCCTGGAGAAGGAAGTGGCAACTATTCCAGTATCGGATACACTATACATTTCATTTGTTTATCTTACACCTATCTCCCCTCACTACAACATAAGCTCCAAGAAGACAAAGTCTTTTGATTTTTAAAAAAAACTATTTTGTTTACTGTTGTACCCCCTAGCATCTAGAAGATGCCTGGTGCATGGAGGTGCTATATAAATATGTTTTGAATGAATAAATCAGAAGAAGCCCAGGGCAGACACTTGCCCCCACCCTGGGGAGCAGAGGAAAGGCTCCCTGGAGAGGATGTCTGCGGGAACCAGAGAGAATACACCATTCTCAGTCTGATAGAGTTAGCTGACAACAAGCAAACAGGAGAAGCCCTCCCACCACCCACCCCAAGCCCTGGCTCACCTCATGTGCGTAAGCCTTGCCGATGCCACTGGTGGCTCCTGTCACCACTAGAAAGGAGAGGAGGAAAGGGCAGGAGGGGATCCCCACCCTATCCTACCCCCGTCATCCACTCCATGTGCCTCTTGTCCCTTTTTGCACCTTTTCTGGAAACCCCCCCTCATCGAGACCCAGCCCTCCTGGTTTTCGTCCTCCTCTTCCATCGGCGAGGGGTTCTAACACCTCGCACAGGTTGGAGGACTTCATACAAATCCAGCCTTCACCCGTGATGCTTCCAGGGGTCCCTGGCGTCTGCCCTGACTGGGGGCCCTCACCGGTCATCTGCCCGTGTTCCTGCTGCCCCGCCTCTACCTGCTTAGTGCAGAGCCCTCCTTTCTTACCTGCCCAGGCCCCGTGCGCCCGGAGCCAATGGTTGCTCCGGCGTACCTGGGGCAGCAGATAAACATAGACTGTGGAGCCCACAGCCCAGGTCGCCCACAGCAGCAGGAACAGGGCTGTAACCGCTCCCAGCACTCTCAGAGCATCCCACTCCGACTCCATCACAACCCCAACCAACAGATCACCCGACCTAGGACCAAGGGGGGAGTTTTCCGGGGGCAGCTATAAGAAGCCTGGCCTGCCCGAGCCGCGTTAGCCCCGCCCACACTGCCAGTCAAGCATTCCACCCCGCCCCTCTCTCTAGCTACGCCCAATGGGGGTTTAGTCTAACCAACAGCCACGCCCATAGCCTTAGAACCGCCCCTTGATGGGTCCGCACCTGAGTTCAAAGTCCACTCCCAAAGCCCGCAGAGCCAGCATACACCCAGCCCCCACTCAACGCACACAACTGGGAAAAGGGTACCCACAGATAACCTCCATTTGGGTCACTGAACTCAATCTCGCTGTTGGTGAGTGAAGGCCAGAACTGAAACGAGTGACCAATCACGTGGTTGTTCAGGCGCCAAGTTGTGTCCGACGGGGGTTTTGTCAACACACAGTTTGCTAGAAGAACCTCACCTACAACTTATCTGCCGGGGGCGGGGGGCGCCGTATAAAAGCCAGAGGCCTTACAATGGCTCCATGTGACCTTTGTCCTCACTTCTCCTTTGCAAATTGTTTTTTTCACTTGTTCTTCGCATTTATTATTGATTGATTTGTTGTTGTTCAGTCCCGAAGTTGTGTCTAACTCTTTGCCACCCCATGGACTACAGCATGCTAGGCTTCTCTGTCCTCCACTATCTACTGGGGTTTGCTCAGATTCATGTCCACTCAGTTGGTGATGCTATCCAACCATCTCATCCTCTGTTGTCTCCTTCTCCTTTTGCCTTCAATCTTTCCCAGCATCAGGGTCTTTTCCAGTGAGTCAGCTCTTTGCATCAGGTGGCCAAAGTACTAGAGTTTCAGCTTCAGAAACAGTTCTTCCAACGAATATTCAGGATCAATTTCCTTTAGAATTGACAGGTTTGATCTCCTTGCAGTCCAAGGGACTCTCAGGAGTCTTCCCCAGTGCCACGATTTGAAAGCAATTATTTGACAATAATAAATTGTAATTATCATCTAATAATTATGGCTATTCTTTAATAACATAAATTAGTTATTATTTATAATAATAAATAGTATTTATTGTTATTATATATTATTATATTATATTATATATTATTATTATACTATTTATTATAAATAGCATAATAACAAATAATATTATTATTTAATAATGGGATTCCCTGGTAGGTCAGACAGTAAAGAATCCCCCTGCAATGCAGGAGACCTGGTTCGATCCCTAGGTTGGGAAGATCCCCTGGAGAAAGGAATAGTTACCCACTCCAGTATTCTTGCCTGGAGAATCCCATGGACAGAGGAGCCGAGCAGTCTACAGTCCATGGGTTTCAAAGAGTTGGACATGATTGCTGTGGTAAAATAAACACACATAACATAAAGTTTACCATTTTAACCCTTTTAAAGTTTAGATATAATTCAGCGACATTAGGTTCACTCACAGGATTGTGCAACTGTCACCACACCCTAGAGCTATTTCATCACCTCTGATAAAAAGAAAACAGGTCCCAAATGGAGTCAGTTGTGCTAAACCTCAGGTCAACAAAACAAGATTTAATAACTAACTTAATAGTAGTTTCAACCCCACCAGAATGTAACCTTTAGCCATTCAACCTAGGATCGCCTGATTGGTACTAGTGAGGTTTGCTGCTGTTCAGTTGCCAAATCGAGTCCAATTCTCCGCAACCCTGTGGACTACAGCACGCCAGGCTTCTCTGTCCCTCACTATCTCCCGGAGTTGGCCCAGGTTCATGTCCAATGAATCAGCAATGCTAGTGAGGTAATCCACCCAATAAGCCCTTCCATCCCCTTAGGAGGATAGCCTTGACTCAAACAATGAATTTCTTTGCTGAAAAGATCCTTTTTTCAGCTCCCTTTCTGCCTTTAACAGCTTCCCTTTTCTACAGCTGAGTGGAGATCCTTTCTCCGGCTAGATGGGATGTAGCCTGACGAATGAATCATTGAATAAAGCCAATTTGATCTTTAAATTTACCGAGTTGGGACTTTGTATTATTTAACAGATTTGGTGGCGGCAGCAGGACAAAGGAGATTTCTGATGGCTTTGGAAACAGCAGGAAATATAGATGTGGCACCCTGTGAACCCTTTGAACTGACTGTCTTTCTGGCCATTTCCGAGGACCCTGGGTGAGTTCTTCTTGGTTCTGAGTTCTGTTCTATTTACGTCACGTTCCTGACCTAGTCAGCTTTCCAGTTAGTTTTCCCATTTGTCTGGAATCACTAGTTCCATGTCCGGAACAGCCGGTGACCACTGCAGTTTCCCACTCGTCTGGAAGAAGCCTGCAATTCTCATTCTTTGGAGTCTGCTGGTTCAGTCCTTTCCCTAGTCCCCAGTTCCATGTTGGGAATTGGTCATGGAGTATACAGGACCTTTTCTGGGCCAGGATGCAGTAACATCTCTTGGTTATCACCAATATATTAAGGTACATGTGTTTGCTTGTCTTGTTTTGAATCCATGAGGGCTATTGCTAACTGGGACCTCAGAGGTCAAAAACTGCGAAAATTGATGGGTCTGGATGGAACAAGAACAGAGTTATGACAAGAAGGAATATAAATCCTAGCAGCACAAGACACTATTACCGAATTTAAGCAATCCCTCCAATGTTGACCTTATTCCTATAGGATCCATGAGAAAATGTTTTCTGTGAGACTGAATCCATGTTCTTGCAATGACAAGCAATCTTATTGTCCAGTACTACTCTGGTTAATGAAGTTAGGGCTTTTTGCTGGCAGGCAATGGCTTAAACCTGATCTTTTATGTCCTTTACAATCTGTCCTTGATCTAGAAAAGAAAGAATTACAACAAAAATTCTCTAATTTAACAGAGGTGCCCCCAAATCTATGGGTTATTTCTCTCTCTCTTTTTCTTTTTTCTTTTTGAATTTTAAGCTATATTTATGAAACAGTGAGATGTTCTCTTTTATATTAGCATTTAATACTTACGAGAATTGGTCTGTTTACTGTAACTTGCCTTCATAACTAAACCATTTTTGTTGTTGTTTAGTCGCTAAGTTGTGTCCCAGTCTTGTGACACCATGGACTGTAGTCCGCCAGGCTCCTCTGTTCCATAGGAATTTCCCAGGCAAGAATACTGAATCTATGTACTATTTCTAATCCTGACTTTGGGAAAGCAAAAATTGCAGAGCCAGTAAAATTTCTGACATATGTGGTTAGACCTCTTTCTAAACTGCCTCAATATTCATTAAAGCCTGAATCCATACAAGGCCTCACACCAACAATAGACAATCTAATCACCAGGGTTAATCATTTCCTGTACAAGCCCCTATAACACTGATCTGGCTGACTAGAAAACCTAATGAGGACTTCCCTGGTGGTCCAGTGGTTAAGAATCTGCCTGCCAGTGTGGGAGACACAGATTTGATTCCTGATCTGGGAAGACCCCACGTGTCATGGGGCAGCTAAGCCCGTGGGCCACACCTGCTGAGCCCCCCTCTCTAGAGCCTGTGAGCTGCACCAAGAGAAGCTGCTGCTGCTAAGTTGCTTCAGTTGTGTCCAACTGTGCAACCCCATAGACGGCAGCCCACCAGGCTCCGCCATCCCTGGGATTCTCCAGGCAAGAACACTGGAGTGGGTTGCCATTTCCTTCTCCAGCAAGAGAAGCTACCATACCACAACTAGAGAGTGGCCCCAGCTCACCATTGCCAGAGTCTGCGCACAGCAGTGAGGACCCAGCACAGGGGGAAAAAAAAATCTAATGGTTGGGAAGCTGTTTATAAGACAGCTATTCCCCGCTTCCCAGTTGTTTCAAACACAAACATTCTTTTGTCACTAATTCCACCAGGCTCAAAGTGGTTCACTGCTGTAGCTCTTTGCTTGGCTTCCCCACCCCCCCCCCCCCCNCCCCAGCATCCCTGTGGACCCCAACAGCCAACATCGATTTGCCTTTACTTGAAACAATCAACAATATACTTGGACATTCATGTGTCAAGGGGCCACGGAAACCCCTTCTTATTTCTCCCAAGTGCTCCACCAAGGTCTGAGCACCCTCCACTTCCCCAGGAAATCGACCCTCTTACAATATATAGATGAATTCTTGCAGTGCTCAGTTCCCCAAGAGGCGTCCAGAAACGATTCTATTTATTTGCTGCAATGGTTAGTTGAAAAGAGACATGACGTCTCTAATGCAACATAACAACTGTCTCTAGACACTGTTTATTACCTAGGTCATAATCGAAGTGCTGAAGGAATCCAATTGTCTCCCAAACAGATTAAGGTAACCCAAGAATTTCCTTGACGCACAACTAGGCAACAGCTTGGTGGATTTCTAATCCTGGCTGGCTACTGCAGATGGTAATTTTCCCCTCTATAGATTTACTAAGGGCTTCCTAGGTGGCGCCAGTGGTAAAGAACCCGCCTGCCAATGTAGGAGATGCAAGAGACGCGGGGCTTGAACCATGGGGTCGGCATGATTTCCCTGGAGGAGGAAATGGCAACCCACTCCAGTATTCTTGTCTGGAGAATTCTATGAATTGAGAAGCCTGGTGGGCTACAGTCAATGGCATCACGAAGAATCAGGCACAACTGAGCAACTAACACTTTCATGCCTTCATTGCCTTTTACAGCACACAAGTGGATTCAGTGGCTAGTGCCTACCCCAACCATAAGGCTATAACTAAAACTGTGCTCCATGGGGTTAACAGAAATTGGTGACTAACAAATTCTTGAGCTGGTCTTACAGAACAGCAACTAAGGAAACACCTTGTTTAAAAAAATAAACAAATCTCCACTTGTAACTTGCCTTCACTGACCAAGCTTGCCTTTTTTTTTTCATGCCTTAACCACCCCTATAGATAACACTACTGACTTATGGCAGTAGTGAACCATTACTGAACCTGGTTCAGTAATGGGGACTTAAGCTGTTTTTCAGGAACTTGGAGTCAGTTCTTGTCCTGTCCGAGTTGGCTGAGACTGATTGGGACCACGGGCCCTAAAACTGGGCCTGCACAAGTGTCCAACAGATGCCCTTTTGACATCAGAGGGGCAAAAACTCCAGTCTCGGAGTGCGCGGCGTGTGCTCAGCCGTGTTCGACTCTTTGCTCTGTACCCCTTCAGGCTTCTCTCTCCATGGGATTCTCTAGACAAGAATACTGGATTGTGTTGCCATTTCCTCCTCCAGGGGATCTTCCCAACCCAAGGATCAAACCCTCCTCTCCTGCATCTCCCGCATTGCAGGCAGATTCTTTACCGCTGGGCCATCGGGGAAGCCCCTCAGATTGCGCTAAAGCACCTCCATTTTTTAACATGCATCTCATGAAGAATTATGTATAATAATTAGCATCTCATGTATTAATAATTCAGAGACATCTGTGCAGAATGCCAGTTACTTCACCTTTTCCCCTACCTCCAATCTCCTTTCCCCACGCTTATGACCACCCCCACTTTTTCACCCACAGATATTCCAAGTTCCTCACCTATGGGGGAGCAGGATTTGTGGATTTGAGACCTCGTTTGGCTGCTTTGTGAATAAACTTCTTCTGTTGCAAACCTTAGTGTCTCGCCCTTTGGCTTGCTTCACCGTGGGCAAATGAACCTGGTTCAGTAACAAATTCGGTGAGCCATACCGGAGATAAAGGTCCAGACGGACTTTGCTGGTGATTCATTGACCCCTTGCTGACACTGAGAGTCTGTGGACAAGTCTGAGCAGCTGACTGGTCCCTTTGTTTTAGGGACTGTCCCCTGGATATCCCTCACCATGGTGCCACTGAATTCAGAGCTCAGTTTTTTTGTTTTTTTTTTTTTTTGCAGTAGAGATGTCTTTTGGCAGCAAGCAACCTTGTTAAAATGTACCTGTGCCAGGGTGGTATCCCTGGTGGTACAGGGGTAAAGAATCCACTTGCCAACACAGGGTTCACTGGTTCGATCTTTGGTCCAGGTAGATGCCACATGTCTTAGGGCAACTAAGCTGGTGTGCCCCAAGTACTGAAGCCCGTGCACCCTAGAACCTGTGCTCCACAAAAAGAGAAGCCAGTGCCATGAGAAGCTTGCACACTGCAAACATAGCGTAGCCCCTGCTTGCTGCAACAAGGCTTCCCTGGTAGCGCTAGTGGTAAAGAATCGGCCTGCCAATGCAGGAGCCACAGGAGACCTGGGTTTGATCCCTGGGTCGGGAAGATCCCCTGGAAGACGGCCTGGGAACCCACTCCAGTATTCTTGCTTGGAGAATCCCATGGACAGAGGAGCCTGGTGGGCTATAGTCCATAGCACCACAAAGAGTAGGACATGGCTGAAGTGACTTAGCATGTTGCATCTAGAGAATGTCTGTGTGCAGCAACAAAGACCCAGTTCAGCCAAAAAGAAATTAAAAAAAGAAAAACTAAAAGCTTGTTATTAGGTTTAAAAAAAACTCCACCTTCCAATGCAGGGAACTTGGGTTCTATCCCTGGTCAGGGAACTAAGATCCCACATGCCATGAGGCCACCAAGCCTGTGCACTGCAACTGGAGAAAACCCAAGAGCTGCTAAAAAAAAGACCAGTTCATATTTTAGCTAAATGTGAAACCCTTTCTTCTCTTTACTCTGGCATTGGCCTAGCGAGATAATGCCCTCATCATATCTCCCAGGCCATTGCTAAGTGGAGCAACCTTTCAGACTGCTGAATTTGTCATCAAAAACTCACCTGTCCATGAGGTGAGAGATCCCCGCTGATCCTTCCTGTGACCCACTTCTCTTCTATCTGCAATGTCACTGCAAACCATGACTGACTCCCCTTAGAAGTCTCAGCTGTTATGGCCAGAATATCCAGTGCCTTGTTTTTTCCTTTCTCTTGTTATGCCTGCGCTTACCCAATTACACAAGAATACCTATGTAACCCGCAGGAGGACATTGCAAGCCATTCCAGTATTCCTGCCTGGAGAATCCCAAGGACAGAGGAATCTGGTGGGCTACAGTCCATAGGGCCACATAGGGACATGACTGAAGTGACTTAATACACACACACACACACACACACCCCATGTAAATCTTTGTACACTTGCACCCGCCACCTACTCATGATTATCTAGATCAGATCTGCTCCCACTCACTAAACATTCTCACCAGCAGCTCCCATCTTTGCAAGGGATTTAAAATGACTCTGTTTCAGGCTAGGAGATTTTCTTCCCATATGCACTAAAAACCTAACTGACCTCTGGCTTGAATGGGTAAACACAGCCATGCCTTTGAATGGATCTATTTATAGTACCCCCATAAGGGGAATGGTCTGTCCTGCAACAAGTTTTGTCTTTGTCTGTAATGGTTATCATTCTCGTAGGGTGTGTGAATGCCTAGATGACTGGTGTACAGCTGGGTAATGCCTCTTAGATTATCTAACTGTGCCCCTAACTTTGTGGACAAAGGAATGAAGACATTTCATTGGTTGAATCCCCTCGACCTACATTGTATAGTTAGAAAGGAACTACCAGGAGGCATTCATGAGTCAAGGTTCACGTCCTTTGGCAGGGCCCTACTTTTCCAGTTAGGATTAACTGTAAATGGGAATATGACCTCAAACATCTTAACTTTTGAAGATACTGTAGTCTCCATTGCTAAGACCACAGCTGCCCAACAAAGGTCCTTAGACCCTGGTCAAAGTTGTTCCTGGTAACAGGACAGTCCTTGATTATCTTTTAGATGAGTGAGGTGGTGTCTGTGGTCAACACCACCTGTTGTACCTGGGTTAACACTTTTGGGGAAGCTGAAACTCAGGTACATAAGATCATTGAGGAGGCCACCTGGCTTAAGAAGATGACTCTCTGGGCTTCCCAGGTGGCTCAGTGGTAAAGAATCTGCCACTAATGCACGAGACACAGGTTTGATCCCTGGTCTGGGAAGATCCCACGTGCTTCAGAGCAACTGAGTCCATGTGCCAAAACTATCGACCCTACACTTCAGAGGTGGGGAACCCCAACTATTGAAGCCCATGCACCCTAGAGCCCATGCTTAGCAACAAGAGAAGCCCGTGCATTGCAACTAGAGTGTAGCCCCTACTTGCTGCAGGTAGAGAAAAGCCTGAGTAGCAACAAAGATCCAGTACAG